ACGTCATGTTGGTGCAATAGTCGCAAATGTTGGGTCCAGACGTGAAAGGCGCGTGTTGCAGTATCGATAAGACTAGCGCGACAGACCCCTGCACAAAATTTCGGAGACACTCGAACCTGAACCATCAGCGTGTCTGCGAAACATCAACAACAACCATGGCGACCTCCGATTACAGCGAATCTGGCGCATCCGACCAGGAGATACTGGAAGCGCAGTCAGGAGCCAGAAAGAGAAGGAGACTATCACCTACCGAGCCCGAGAGTTCAGCTTCCGAGGCTGAAGCTGAGAAGCCGCTGCCAGTAGCAGCACCAGTACCAACGATTTCGCGCATCAAAGCGAAACAGCAAGACAAGTCGACGAATACCGCCAGCTCCGCACCAAAAGTAAACCAGAAGCTGGATTTTGCGACGCTCAATGTAGCACCATGGCTTTGCACCTCTTTGGCCAGCATGGGGATCAAGCGCCCAACGGGCATTCAGGCTTCTTGTATTCCTGAGATCCTGAAGGGGAAGGACTGTATTGGTGGATCGAGAACCGGTACGGGTAAAACTGTAGCGTTTTCTGTGCCGATAATGCAGAAATGGGCGGAGGACCCAAGCGGCATCTTCGCCGTTATCGTCACGTGAGTACAGACCATTGCTGCCATGTGGGCAGTAGCTAATAGCCATGTAGGCCGACCCGTGAGCTCGCGATCCAGATTTACGAACAAGTGAAAGCGATCTCAGCGCCGCAATCTATGAAACCCATTCTCATCACAGGAGGTTCAGACCAGCGTTCTCAGGCCATCGCTCTCGCAACGCGTCCCCACGTCGTAATCGCGACACCAGGTCGTCTAGCAGAGCACATCCGCACCTCAGGCGAAGACACCATCTGCGGCCTCCGCCGCGTCCGCTTCGTCGTCTTCGACGAAGCTGACCGTCTTCTCGCCCCAGGAAAAGGCTCCATGCTGCCCGATCTCGAGACGTGTCTTTCCGCTCTACCTCCCAAAGAAACGAGGCAAACCCTTTTATTTACGGCGACCGTAACGCCAGAGGTTCTAGCGCTGAAATCGCAACCGCGCGCACCGGGTCGTCTTCCCATCTTCGTGTCCGAGGTCGATACAGAGGATCTAGCAATTCCGCCCAAGCTGCAGCAAAGATATCTCCAAACGCCTGTCACGCACAAAGAATGCTATCTGCACGTCCTATTGAACACGCCCGAGAACCTCAAAAAGAGCGTCATAATCTTCTGCAACCGAACCAAAACCGCCACGCTACTAGAATACATGCTGCGTCTCCTCGCTCACCGCGTAACAGCCCTGCACTCGGGCCTCAAGCAAAACGACCGCGTGAGCAACCTCGCTCGCTTCCGCGCACAAGCCGCTAGAATCCTAGTCGCGACCGACGTCGCAGCCCGCGGTCTAGATATCCCAGAGGTAGCGCTCGTTATCAACTTCGACGTGCCCCGTGACCCGGACGATTACATCCATCGTGTTGGTCGTACGGCGCGTGCGGGCCGTGTGGGAACGAGTATCACGTTGATTGGACAGAGGGATGTGGAGTTGATTCTGGCGATTGAAGCGAGGGTGGGCAAGAAGATGGAGGAGTTTGAGGAGGAGGGTGTTAGTGTTGAAGGAAGGGTTGTAAGGGATGCGCTTAAGCCTGTGACGGAGAAGAAGAGGGAGGCGCTGTTGAGTATTGAGGAGGGGAGGGATGTGCTGGGGAAGCGCAAGGTGGGCATGCAGAGGAAGCGAGCGGAGTAGGTGTAGATATCTGATTGCGTGGATGGTAGATGGAATTCACAAGTCAAACGGTATCATCTAGGGTCATTTCATACTGATGTTATTCAAATAGTACACATTGTATGCTCTTCGCTAGAACGCTATAGATCGATACATGAAACAAGATACATTACTCAAAACACTTCGTTGCTCACGGCGACCCCTTCCTTGGCCTAAACACTGTGTTGAAGTTCCTTTGCGTAACGAACCAAGCGTTATGCGTCTTCCACTCAGCATCAGGGTGCTCCAGCTCGATCTGCAACCAGTGTTAGTACCGTCCAGTTTTCAAAGTCATCATTAGTGAGACTTACCTCGAATCTCCTTAGAAAACTCGGCACAAGCTTGTAGATCTCAAGAAGACTGATGTTCTTTCCAATGCACGTCCTAGCTCCAGCACCAAATTGCAACATCGTGCCCTTCATTTCCTTCAGCTTATCCGGACTGGCCCCGATCCAGCGTTCAGGACGGAAAGTGTCAACATCCACACCGAACACCTCCGGTCGGCGGTGGACGATCCAAGCGTTGCAGCCGACGATGGTGCCACCAGGTATGAATTCGCCGCAGATCTGCATACCCTGCTTGGGTACGACGCGCTCGAGGATAAGGCCGGGTGCGGGGTGGAGACGGAAAGACTCTTGAATGACAGCGTCGAGGTAGCTGAGTTTTTGAGCTTCAGGCCAAGATACGGTCTTGTCAGGGCGAGACTCGACAAGGCCATCTGCTACTGCGGTATCCAATTCTTGCATAAGCTTCGCATAGACGCGCGGGTGCTTGACGAGGAAGTAGAAGACGGCCGAAAGCGAGATGGCGGTTGTTTCTGAGCCGGCGAAGACCATAGATGTGCATGTTGAGAGGATGCGGTTATCGTCCATGAATTCATGGTCGTGGCTTGCTTGCGCAAACTTGGAGAGGAGGTCGATGCCATGAGGGTTGGCTTTCTCGTCGTCGGAGAGACCGAAACGCTTGATCTTCTCGACTTGTGTGGCTCGCTCGTTAGATCGGTTCAGGGCGAAGAGGGTGACGGGGTGGACACGCTTGTCCAGGCCGATGCGCTGTGCGAGGAGGCTGATTGGATTCTTCCAGAGAAGACGGTCGAGGATAGGAATTTGACCGACCTGAAAACGCGTAAGTATGACCCCATGCATGCCAGGTCCTGTTTGTGAGGACTTACCGGTGCGACATAGTCAAAGAACTTGCCCAAGAAACCAATAATGTTGTCCACGTCCTTGTTCCCCTCGACAAAACCCAATCGCTTACTCCATGTCAACTCGCCGATAACGTCGAAGGCGAAGAACTGCAGCCATTGACTGAAGTTGCAGCTCTGACCAGTCCTCGCGTACATGTCCTCCGTCTTGTCCAGCCAGTATGTGAGTGTCGAGCTGACGAGAGGCTCGTAGTTGACGAGCGAACTCATGGAAAAAGCGTTGTTGACGCATCGGCGGTACTTCGCGTGGAAGTCTTCGTCGGTGGTGGAGAAGAGGGAGAGCAGCGGCGCGCCTTTGGAAACGGCGCCTTGGACGGGGTAGAAGTCAGACTGGAAATGTTAGCTGTCGCTCAGGAGATTGACCGAGACGTGCGTACCTTGGTAACACCCTTATTCAACCCATAGATAGCCTTGATAGCCTTTGGGTCCGCGAAAGACAAGACGTTCGGTCCCAGCCTGACGATGTCTCCATGCTTGCGATGCAACGCGAGGTTGGTCCATTGATGATTGTGCTTGGACACATCCCACAGCCGCCACCAGTTGGTGTATCCCGCAGCCCAATGCCCAGGGTATTTGTTCAAACCGTTCCAGTACTTGTTGTTGAGGAGGTATGCAATGGTAGTCGTAGCCAGAACAAGCGGCCAGTACTGCACCAGCAGCGGGACGATCTCGTTGGCCAGCATGTCGCGCGATCAATCTACCCGGTGATAAGGTATTCGATCCGGGGGTCCAGATAACGGTAACACGTGAGTAGGTATATAGCAGAGTAAGCAGCGCGACACGTATAGAACGCTCGCCCGGGGCAAAAGCTCATATAAATGGCAGCCAGCCGTCCGGCCTGTGCCGCCCACTTCCCGCGTCGTCAGACAGTCGGGTCGGAGTCGGAATCGCCATCGCAACGCGTCTGGGTGCTTGCGCAAGATTGTGTGTGTCGGCAGTTGATAGCTGAGGCGTGAGATGATGAAGGTGGGTCGGTGGCTGGACTGGAGCGGCTTGGAAGGATGACGCGGGGACAGTAGCTCCGGGGCGCTTTCGCGGGGTAAACCTCGTCCATCACGCTGAACGCCCATCCTCAGCCCTATCCATTGGCCTCAAAACTCGGTTATCGCGATGCATACAATTTATCGTCCTGACTCTGATTGGTTAAATCGCCTGTGTGCAACACCACGCGGGATTGAAGTGATCGCAAACCCAGGTCTCTCACAACGCCTCTAGATTCGGCGCAGCATCGCCAATGTGCTCTGTGCTATTCTTGAACTGCCGATTATCGTCACTTCGACAGCTAAACCTTGTGTGAGACGATAGCGAGGGTTTGTGGACCTTTCGCGTGTCGGCAGTTGTATTCCAATGTCATAACTGCAACTGCCGATATCTGAAGGGGGAATGGGCGCCGAAGCCTCCGAGGCCTCGTCACGTGGCTCCGGCTACATCTGGCCCTCGGCTGTCATGTAACCTTTCCAGCAGTCGGTGAGAAGTATGAGACTTACTTTTCATGTTCGTCCCAGAGATGAGCAGTGCGTTCAACGATCGGCAAAAATGTACGCAACTTGGGTGCAATGCATCGTCTGATAGCAAGCTAATTAGAAGCACAGATCGCGAAATATGCGCATGGGTTTTACCGTGATGGTGGACAAGGCAAGTGACATGTCTTGCATGAATGCATGGGCAAGACCCAACTGCGTAACCCGGATATATGCAAGCCCAGCAGAATATCGACGTCAGCGGCCTTTCCGCACCTCACTTTCGCCTTCATCACGTTCCGTATCACGAGATATACTGAATTGTCTAGTCAATCTGATAAGAGAAGTAGAGATTGAGTCGAAGTAGTGCACCAAAGAGTTTTGATCAAAGTTTTGTATTGCTAGTATACCTAGGGTAGTACTTCTTCTTGCACAATGTTGTGGCATACAGAAGTGTCGACTACCATCTTCAGCTTAGCCGGTGTTGAACCAGACTGAAGCTATCCTGTGCACCAGCACAAAGACTACACCAGAAGGATGAAAACCAGATCCCTGATCCGTAGGGGTATGTGGCCGCTTAGCCAGTGCACTGGTAGTCATAGTTCATGCGCGAAGCATCCGTATCCTTGGGAACATAAATAGTAACCCTCCTCCCATCCGCCTCAAGCGTACCCACATACGAGTCAAAGAAGGGACGCCAGTAGACCTGACCAGTTCCACCCGGGCAGTCAATGTTGATAGTAACAGACGTGGTACTGGTCATGGTAGTCGAGAAACCGGCGGAAACGCCAATCTCTGCGCTGACTGCATCCCATGCGCTTGCACCCAGACTGGCGCTTGCCGTGATGGAAAAGGTCTCTGACTTTGCTTCTGAGACGGTGTAGGCGCCGTTGTTGGGGACTTGGGCGACGAAGACGGCGGAGCCGGGCATGTAGACGTTGTAGGATGTTACGACGTCTGCGAACCTGTCCGCTTGCTGCGTTGTAAATGTTTAGCTTTCGGAAAAAGAGAGTGAGGAAGCTGGTGTACATACCCGGCTCTCCAATTCGTTGACTTGAGATGCCGCGGCGAGACTGTCGATCTCTGCCACCAGAGTCTCAAGCTCAGCTTTGTTCTCTTCGACAGTGATCTCCTTGTAGCTGGTCGCTGCAGCCGTAGACATCAGGCGCCATTCAGTGGCGAGCCTGATAGCGACCTCGGTCCAATCCGCGGGTGGAGCTGGTGACTGATAACCACCCGTGTCCTCTGCGCAGCCGTCCTCGATGGCTCTGGCTCTTCCACCCCAGCCAGAGGCAGAATCGCAGACTTCATACTCCTCGTTGTTGCAGAATGAGATACGGCAGTTGCCTCGTGTCCAGATACGGCATTCTCTTGGGATGACGCAGACACTCATGTCTGGGTTGGTGCCCTCGCCAAAATAGCCGTTGCCACTCATGATGTTGCGGCCTGTTCATGGGAAGAAAACTCAGCATTGCTCTTCAATGTGATGATTTTGAAAGCAAGAGAAATCGGAGTACTCACAGTCAGCCCAGTCAGGCTGCAATCTTGCCTCGCAGAAGATGCCGCCAGTTTGCGTTCCGTCCCAGTCCTCTTGACGAGGAGCAATTGGGGAAGAAGCTCCCATTGCCGCAAGCATCGGCAAAAGGGTGAGAATGTAGTTCATCTTGTCGAAGATGGAGTCTTGAGGTCGAGGATGAACCAGGTGATCTGAGAAGAAGGTGTTTGGTTGTGATGATGGGATTGAGAGCAAAAACATACCTCTTTATACCTTTCTGCCCTTCCATCTGTCTCACGAGCATTCGTATATCCAGCGTCATGGCTGGCCTGACTATGCACAATGTCTACTATCGAACATGGGATATGGTTTGCCTTGAACGTGAACTAGAACTCTGAGCTCTAGCGATTGGTGCTCTCGTACACTATCATTGATGTGCATACCTCCGGGGGCCAGAAGTAACGCGCTACTCAGAGTATACGATACTTGGCCGCTGTCATTCAGTGTCTTGGAACGATTGTCTAAGATCAGCAGAGCCTCTTGCCAGGCAGAAGCATCCGAGTTTCCCGGCGGTGGTACATTTGGGGGAGTGGAGAAGGGGCTGAAATGAAGACCTCAGATATCTCGATCGCAGGACGATATCACAGTCCCAATAACTTCTCGTGGTGCCTGCTCCTCTAGGACTTCAGTGCCTTCCATTTGTACGTCTTGCAGAAAGACGACAGGGCAGACGCCATGAATCGAATGTTTCCCATAATCCCACATGTTCTCAAAGAGAATTCGACAAGACTGAACCAACTTCCTCTTCCAGCTTCACCACACGCTCGTCAAGACAACCCAGCATGGACGCCTTGCGTCGGCTAACACGGCGCGGGCCTAACATCCCCACGTTTCTCTTCCCAAGGCTCTTCTCTGGTCAAAAGGTTGGTGAAGGCAACGGCAAGTCCGATGTACGTGCGTAGGCAAGGTTTGGAGCCTCGAGGCGAGCGAAGAAGAGACACCAAGACGTCTGCCAAGTGCCAAGCATTCCGATCACTCCACATCCACCCTTATTGTTCGTCTCGTAAGTGTTATTTCCCCACAGTAAGCTGCTCAATGTAGCGAAAACATGCGAATGTAACGAATGCGATGCAACCTGTTCACGTTAGTTTGAACATATTTACGCCCTGCAGGTGCGACGGGGCGGGACTACTATTGCAGCCCATATTGACCTTGACACCGGAGTATGTCATCCATCCGATTACCCGTCTGGAAGACAGCGGAGCCTCTCATCCTTTCCCAACACGTAGTCGCCAGTTGATGCCTCGCGGGGGGCCTGTTGCGGTGCGAGCCGCACACCCGTCACTGCAGGTACCTTGATGTCCCCTCCGCTCTTGGCAAACTCCGCTGGAAGACTGCTACGTCATGTTAGGTCCACCGTGAGGCTGATTCATACAGCAATGTAAAGACCGCATGTGCCTACCTCGAAATGTCTTTGATGCTTGATACTTCCACTCGTCCCTGGTTTTGCTGATCATCATGGCCAATTTCGTCCTGCTAGCTGCATCGCTCCTTCTCAACTCATGTTCAGCGCAAGAATCGAATGACACATCTATGGAAAGATGTCAAGGCCCCATCAACGCTATCGCCAGCGGCAGTCAGTACTTCAACTCGACGGGAACGGCCCGCCTACCCTCAAACCCAACACACGACGATGACTGGTACGTCAGCGTCACCATCACCGATAGACGCGATCCGAATCACATCTACGGGACCGAAATGCCCTGGCAAGAGAGGGAAGCTTTTATAAGTGTTCCTGATTCGCTGGTTGGAAGTCAAGATGGCAATCAGACGGAGTACTGCGTCTACGAACTTCCGGGTCAAGACGCCTCTTCGCAACAAGAAGCTGGAGACTGCAGCGGCGTACTGAGCGACGACTGCATTGACGCGTTGATGAAGAATACGCCGGCCATGTCGGATGGCCAATGTTATAAGCCGGAGAATGTCGAAGACGCCTGTGGGATGGTTGCGTCGCAGCCAGTAGGTTAGTACATCCCGCTCTTATCTCAGCCCAGCGACAGGAGCTTCGTGACCTACTGGTCTATTCATATAGCGAGCGTGTACTGACGTCGTGATAAGGTACACCATCGAACTTCAACAGTACCGAGTGCAGTTTGTCCGAGATGCCGCATGTCGAAGTACCGGATAATTACCGCACCTACTACGCCCACTACGTACCCGTGTCTGAAGGTGGAGGTGGTTACGAGAATTTCGACCTTTACGATAGGCACGTTCGCGAAGCAGTGCCCATGGTCTTCACCATCAAGTCTCCAGGTGGCACCATCGCCCACAAGGCCGTTTGTGTAGCACCGAACAATGTCGTTGACGGTAGCCGTGTTCCAGAGTCTGCGGCTGCTCAGTTGTCCTCCGGGGCTTCACTGGTAGCAGCCCTTACTGTTATGGCTTTTGTATCTGTTCTCTCGATAGCTTGATAGATCTTGGCATTTCCGTGTCTTTTACTTGCAGCTTAAAGTAACGATTATCGCATCCGGTGACTTGTAGCATTAGCGTTGTAACGGTAGTAACACCGGGAATGACAGTCAAGCCGAGCATTTAGCTCTAGTCAGTATGATCGGGTGACCCGCAATGTGTCAAAACCTCGGAGCTTGAAGCGACATGTTGGTATACAACTGGGTGGGTTGCGACAAAGTTTGGGGCGCGAGAAAAAGCAAAAGGATCGACGATATGTCGCTGCCTCGAGGCAATACCCGAATACCGTAGACATGTGATTGTAGGTAGGGTCGGCGTCTCGCTACACCCGATGGTGGGCTGTATATTGGAAGACTCGCGCGATAATGATTGTCAAGTCGGCAGACGTGTATAGCCGAGATCCTTTCGTGAGAATTTGCTTGAAGGATTGTCAAGTGAATGTGTTAACCGAAAGCGGGAGGTGACAGTACTATTACAGCAACTCCTGACGAAGCAGCGTATTGGGATCTGAGATTAGCTATGATCTAGCCGAAGATCTGCAAGACCTTTGACTCGTAAACACCTGTCAGCCTTGATTCCTCGGGGCTACACTCCATGACTATCTACCCACGCGTGCATAACTTCTCATCAGCCTGAACACTGCACATACTTCTCCGCGGCAGTGCACAACGACGACGGCTGATTATTTCCGACTAGAAGAAATATGAGGCTTCGGTGGGTACGTCAGCGGCTGCGTAAGAGGGTCTAGATGCGACAGTGTAAAAGCGAAGTTGCGATCCCAGCATACAAGTCTAGCCGAAACGACGAGCAGTATGGCGAAGCGCCGACAAAGCTCAACAATCATGCCCTGCCTGCGCTCCGCTGAAAAAGGCAGATTAGAGTCCAGGAACATGGCTTGACAAGCGACGACTACCGATCGCCTATGGGTGCAACCCCATTTGGTTCCAAGGTTCCCGTCGATTAGTCGATGAAGTTGCGAATGGCGGGCCAGCCATACCACTAGGACCACGACCCGGCACCCCCGATCGAGCTGTTCTCAACTCTGCAGTGTTGAGGTTCGCGGGCGAGAAGATGGTGTGGTGGATACCAGAGCTACGGTAGCCCAAGCTCCCCGTCAAGGATGATGGGGGCGGCTACCATATCTGACCCCGCTCACATCTCATAGGGAGACCGTTTGGACAAGATACAGCCCCTGAATTGAGGAATCCCTATATTTCCCATGTTGTTTAGAGACCTTGCCTTATTGTTTCTCAGCGAATCTTCTCCTAGATGATTAGAACTGATCACTGGCCTAAGATGACACCCAAGTGGCTTGGGTAAAACGGAAGATCGGACGAGGCATCTCTCGGATCTAGCGCTTATACCAACAAGAACGCTTGGATAGCTTCGGAGAGCGAGGCACGAGCCAAACAAGTCTTGAAGACAGGGAATCGTGGTCTTCGACTTTGGTGCTCGAGCCGGGGGCATCAGCCATGGGTTTTCAGGGACTTTGGGATAGAGCAGGGACCACCTGGTGTAACCAGAGTATAAAGGCCTAGCAGCCCGTGTGAGGAGATGGTTCAATCAGCAGTCGGGCTGGCTTGTGATCCGGCTGCATCGTTGCCCACCTCTATGGCAGGTGAAGAGACGACATTTCCAAGATTGACCGGGCCCGGAAAGCGAGCGCATTAGAGGAAAGCAGCCGGAGCAGGAAAATTCTGCAGCGCTTGAGGTCAAGACAAGTGCCGTGCTCCGCACATGCGCTGGGAAGTATGCTTGCTCGAAGCTTGCTTGCTGTGGGTGAGTCATCTAGGTCCACGTCGCGATGCAGGCGTATGCGGCCGCCGCTTCGCCGACATATTGTGAAACACGACGGATGAATTGCGTGCATGATCAGTCATACGTACATATGCTCCATGACGACGCTCTATCACGAGCAAGACATTGTCTGCGTTGGAGGGTAAATGTTGGGCGAGGACGGGCCTGGGAAAGGGTTGAGTCGTGGGGGAAGGAGCCACCCGCTTCGTGTCGGCTTAAGTGGGGCACCTGACCCGTCTGTGCCCCTGTCAAGCTGAAAACGCAGGAAACGGTCACGAGTATCCTTACACGTTGCGATATAACATCATGCTCTGTATGCACGCACGATCCTTTTGAATCATGAAATCGGCACCAGCAAAAGTAAAAGCATCATGATAACGTGGGGCAGTCGGCCACGGCCGCGGCGCATGGCCAGGACGTTGCCCCGCGTATTCGTTTGCTATGAGGCGCAGCTACAAATCCCAGCTGCAGGTCTCGGGGTCGCCTTTGCAGGTCTGAAACATGGCAATGTGGGATGCTATCGATAAGTCCGTACAGATGGGACGACTGGACGGCGCTGGGGTTGCCGAGCATTGCGTAATGCTCTCGCTTTGCTTCACTTGAGGATACTTTTCTCCAATCGCGCAGCTGTAGGCCTAGCAGACGATGCGGATTGAAACGGAAACGACCTCTCC